CACGCGGGGTAGAAGGTCCCCTGCCCTATTACACGGGTCTTCTAGGCCGGTTCTAGAGTCTCTTTTGATATCCATCTCGGTCTTTTCTTCCTCCTGTGGTTTTGTAATGACCTTTTGCTTTCTTTCTGGAAAATACTTTTTATATCCTCCCACAGCTCATCTGGTTTTCATTCATTAGTGTTCTAGGCCACAAATATGTTCCTGAGATGGTTCTTATATACACATGGGATAGACTCAAGGACAAATTTTGGTTCCTATGGATTTGATTTAACCTTCTTTAGTTTTAACCTTCTTTATGGTTCTTATATACAGGTGGGATAGAATCAAGGACAAATTTTGGTTCCTATGGATCTGATTTAACTTTCTTTAGTTTTAACCTTCTTTAGCTTTTGTTTGAACTTACATATGAATAGTTGATGATCACAATCAGCACCTGGCCTAGTTCTCACTGCTGATATTGAACTTATCCAATGATTTCTTACACAGATGTAATTGTTCTAATGCCTATGCACACTATTAGGTGAAATCCATGTGTATATTCTGTGTTTATGTTTGGGTTTGTTGGGGTTTTTCCCTGTTAGTCAATTTCTTATTTTGTATGTGTTTGTTTTTTATAAAAATTATGCAATGAATAAATAATTGATTGCACAAAATTCTATCATTCTATCCCCAGCCTGATTTCTGTCATCAAGTCTATATTTTCCAACTACTGATCCTTCTTCCCTTCCCAACTTTTGCATTCCAGTCACTCATTATTATTAATGCAACTTGGTTGTATGTTCGATTGATTTCTGATTGCAAAAGTTGGTAGAAATTTTCTATTTGGCTTTGGCTGATGGTGCATAAGTTTGATGAGTCTAGTTTTCACTGAACTTCCGTGTGTGCGTGTGTGTGTGTGTGTATATATATATATTTTTTTTTCTGTCCCTCACAACATTGTATCTGAAGATGGATCTAGATTTAACTATGAAAACCACCAGTGTTTCCTCACCTTTTATCTCCATCGTAGTAGGTCTTAAGACTGATTCAAAATCTTCCATAATAATCCATTTCATTTCAATAATACCTAGTGTGTCAATATTTATGTATTCCATTTCTTTTTTAACAATGTCCAGTTTTTCTACATTCATGCTTCTCACATTCTATATTCCTATCATTAATATCTGCTTACAATTGTTCTTCTTAATTTGTTTTTCCAAATTCAAGGGCTCAGATTTAGGTGCTACTTCTGCTAGTCTGCTCTAAGTGTGGTCTGTTGTATATAGAGTTTTCAAAGGCCTGTTGTTTCAAAAGAGAATGACCAATACTTCTTGTTATTTTGTCTTAATTTGGATGTTCAGCTTTAGAGAAATATCTGACAAACATTTAACCAGATAAAAGACACTTCCACCTTAGAGAAGTAATCAATGGATTTCATTCCACCCACATCCCTTGGTGTGTATGTCTTTTCCCATCCCATTCCCTTATTCATCAGTATCCCCTTGAACTCTCACCCACCCCACAGAGCACGTCCCTCCCTCAGTCAGCGCTTGATATGATGGCTCAGGCCTCAAGTCACTTCTGTGATGTTTTGCACCTAAGTACTGCTACTTGTCCTCACACTACAGTCTGTATGAAATTTAGGAGGCCCTATGTCCATATCAGGGTACTTTTTTTTTGTGGGGGTGGGGAAAGCTGAGTCCCCAGCTCCTGTGCCTCCTTGCCTCTCCTGAAGTTCTCTTCCATGCTGTGCTCTGCCTCCCATCCTTATTCTAAAGATTACAGACTTCTGTGGGGGGGCACAGAACAGATTATCCAGGAGGCTGTGCTCTATGAGAAGAAACGTGGAATCAGGATTGGAGGAAAACTCATCAACAATTTGCATTATGCAAATGAAACAACCCTGCTGGCTGAAACTGAGGAGGACCTGAAGCGTTTGCTGCAGTAGGACAAGGACTGCAGCCTTCAATATGGATTGAAGTTCAATATCAAGAAAACAAAAATTCTCACCACTGGGAAGATTGGCAGCATTATGATAGATGGTGATGAGATTGAGATTGTTCACAGCTTTAGTCTGCTTGGCTCCACAGTCAACACTTTTGGCACCAATAGCCAGGAAATTAAAAGGCATATTGCATTGGAAAAGTCTGCTGTTAGAGACCTTTCTAAAGTACTGAAGAGAAATGATGTCAGTCTGGAGACTAAGATGCTGATACAGGCTATGGTCTTTGTAATCATTTGCTATGCATCAGAAAGCTGGATAATGACTAGGGATGAGAGAAAAGAATTGATGTCTTTGAGCTGTGGTGCTAGAGAATAGTATTGATTATACCATGGACTGCTAAGAGAATGAACAGGTTTGTCTTGGAGAGGGTGAAACCAGGCTGCTCCTTGCAGGCAAGGATTCTGAAGCTTCTTCTGACATAATTTGAAAATGTTACAAGGAGAGACCAGTCCTTGGGGAGAGATGTCATGCTTGGGAGGGTGGAGGGACAGCACAGGAGAGGAAGACCCTTGATGAGATGGATAGACTCAGTGATAAGGTTAATGGGAGTAGGTGTGTCAGAGACCATGAGGTCGGCACAGGATAGAGCAGGGTTTAGGGCTCTCATACCTAGGATCACTATGAGTTGCAGACGACTTGACACATAACAGCAATAACAATATCTAAATTGCATGTACCAGCTTTAGAGAAGGATTTTTCTCTGAGGAAGTATTGGGCAAAAGTTCTTGTTCCTGGACTTCCGCTCCAGAACTGTTAACTTGTGATTTAGTGTCTCTGCTTTTCTGTTTGCAGAACAAAGCTGTAACAGTAGTAAAATTTCCCAGGTGAGCACCATGTCTCCTCTAGATCTGGTATGCTGGTGTTTACTTGGACAAAGCACCACAGGATCAAGGGCCCGATGCTAATTTGGGTTGAATTTCTTGTCTTGCTTTTGATGCCTGACTGTAATAACAAAGCCTGTTATTGGAACTTTGGCAAGATGGACATTACTTGATTTAGGGTGGAGGAAGTGATTCTAGACTCCTGCTTTTGCAAATCCCCCGGGTTCATGATAATACTCCATCAAATCTTAAAGCCTATAAATTATAATGTGAGGAAACTTCCCCTTTTACTCCCATATTGATACTTATGGTTTTTTCTGGCTTACACGTGTTTTTTTTTTCATGGACAGTCCTATAGTTTAAGAAATATAATATGGTATAATGTGGAGTAACATTAGAACTTTGAACATATTCAGAATCCAGAAAAATTAGATCACTCTAGAAAATTAACTTCTGTCATCCTTTTATGTCGATACCTCTATTTGACCTTAACTCATGACTACCATTAATATGTTCAACATTATTATAGCCTTTTCCTTCTCAAAAGTGTCATATGAATTTAATAATAGTTTGTAATATTTTGAGAAATCACTTTCCCCTCAGTATAATATCTTTCCATGAAGAATGCAAAAGGTCATTACATAGTCAGAGGAGGAAGAAATGACCAATATGGATGTCAGAAAAGACTGAATATTGCACTAGAGCACCAAGAAACCAAAGGAATAGGAAGAAATAAAAAAATTAAGGAGCTGAACAGAATATGTCAAAGGGCAGAGTGGGAAGACAAAGCAAGCTATTATAATGAAACGTGAAAATAACTGGAGTTAGAAAATCAAAAGGGCCAAACTTACTCAGCACTTCTTAAGCCAAGGAATTGAAGAACACAGTCAAGCCTCTAGGTGCAATACTTAAGGATACTTTGCACAGAATATTAAATGATCCAGGAAGCATTAAATAAAAATGGAAGGAGTATACAGAGTCATTGCACCAAAAGGAATTGGCTAAAACAGAAGAATTTCATGAAAAAATGCATAAAGAACAATCTATGATGATGAAGGAAGAAGTTCAAACTGATCTGAAAGAATTGTCAAAAATCACCACCCCAGGAATTGACAGTATACCAATTGACATATTTGAACAAACAGATCTAGCCCTGGATGCACTCACCAAGTTTTGCCAAGAAATCTTGTCTTCAAGGAGGACATACACCTGGCCAACTGACAGGAAAACATGTATATTTGTTCCCATTCCAAAGAAGGGTGACATGATAGAGTGCAGAAATTATTGAACAATATCATTCATATCATATGCAAGCAAGATTTTGCTAAAAATTATGAAAAAATGACTGGAACTGTGCATCAACAGAGAACTGCCAGAAATTCAGGCTGGGTTTAGAGGAGGCCATGTTATTAGGGATAGTATAGCTACATTTAAATGGATCTTGGCTGAAAGCAGAGAGTACTA